AATTAACTTAACATTCTTTATAAAACTGTTTTGTCTCTTGTTAACTAACTTAACATTCTTTATAAAACTGTTTTGTCTCTTGTTAATTAACTTAACATTCTTTATAAAACTGTTTTGTCTCTTGTTAATTAACTTAACATTCTGTGTAAAAGCGTTTTGTCTCTTGTTAAGTAACTTAAAATTTTATGTAAAAGCGTTTTGTCTCTTGTTAAGTAACTTAATATCTTATGTAAAATTGTTTTGTCTATTTAAGCAACTACAGATTCTCTAGTAATATTAATCACGTAAACTACCACAAGTAAAAGTCACTACCGAAAACCTAATCCTTCAATATCGTGTTAGTAAGTAAATAAAAACAGAGTTGATTTTTAGAATTACAGATAAAATTTTCCCAACAAACTTACCCGCCACAGGTTGAAAGAGAACAATGAATAGCTTGCAGGCAGTGTACCAGAATTTACACTTATTTTGTTCGATGTTTCCTTATAACCTGTGTGCAAGTTACGTTCTTATTCCATGACACGATTGGCTAGATCGTTAGCCAATCCAAACAGTAGATTCTTTCTTGTGTATATTTGTATCCGACGTAAGTCTTAAAGTATACTAAGGTTGCTAGCGCACTCTCTGAGATAAATAAGACGTTTGTGTGTCCTCCCCCACTATGTGTATGTTGTTTAATATTTTTTTGTGTAAAGATGTGGCGCCATCTATGTATGTAGTTGACGCTAACTTATATGAAAGATAATAAACGTTCAATAACAGCAATAATGGGGGTGAAGAGGGTTGGTAATCCCCAATTAACATGCCCCTTGTTTCAAACTATCATCCCACAAAGGTTGTTTGAGACTGGCCCAGCGACCTAGGAGTAGTTAGATAAGGGACAAACAGATTGACACACAGATTTTTGTGCTTTATATATGTATAATGAACAGATTTCTTGATAAATGATCCTCTACGAGTTGTTCTAGTTGATTATCTCAAAACGACAAAGAACAAGATACCAATAAATGATCGCCAAATTTACGGTGGGACCGTTTTCTAGCATGACGTCACTCGATTAGAGGGGGTTTAAGCAGTGACGTCACGTAGACCAAATAAGCAATAACACGAGAGAAAGTTTTTATAATTATCATGTTAATAGGTCGCTATCCATCCCCTTCTAGTGGCACCATATGTGGTATTATTATCACGCAATAAGGGCGCTGAACTTAATTGACGAAAGAAGATGAAAAAGTTGTGTGCCAACTGTTAAAAAAAATGTGTATGATGACGAGTTCGTTTTTATTTAGTCCACAAGGAGAGTTTTGTAGCAGGTGTATTCGAATTATCACACCTGCATTTCTTTAAACACGAGTGGTGAAGCTAATTGAGTTTCTGTAAGTTAGGCCTCATTGTCCAAATTATCAAGATCATTGGCGCATGTTTATTGCTTGTGATATATCATTTGAAATTCACTTTATTGCCTTAACATATTTTCTCTGTTAGATGAGACAGAAATGGATGAAAAGGGATTTGGCATGGTTTATTCCACGTGACAGGAAAACATCTCACATTTCAGGGTCAAATTATATGAAAAAAGAGAGAAGGTAATAGGATGCTTACGACAGCTATTCACAAGAAAAGGTCATACTTAGAAGTACGAGATCAGCTTCAGCTCAAGAATGAAAGAATCGAAGAACAAAGAAAGGAAAATGGTGAACGTTCCTTGTATATATACATATATATATATATTTTACGTGATATTCTTTACAGCTACTATCATAAATTTTAGACCTTTTAATTTCAGCTGCTTCATTGGCTTTCGGGGTTTTAACAGTGACTTTTATCAGCCCATGGTCCGGATTATTCATTAAAAAGGTATTTTACATATGTCTTCAATAGGTCATCAGACAGTTCTGATATTTACATTTGCATCATCCCTACTATCTTGTTTGCATTGTTTCTGAAGGACTGATATTAGCCATCCCTACATTTACTTTTTTTACATTAAGTTTTTTCTTTATTTGTACTATCTTTAAATGCCTGGCCATTTATTCGTGAGTGATTGTTGTCCTGCAAGACGTGGAGAAAAGCATTTCAGATAAAATGTTATGACTGACAAGTCAGCAAACAATTGAGTGAAAAATAAGATTTCATTTAGGTGTGTGCATTGTTCATTGTTACTTTTCAGGTGAATTGATATCAGCCCATCTAATTGCATCATAATAACTTCCACATAAATATCTATGTGTATATTTTAATATTCCACATTTTCCAAGGTCAAGGATGCCCATAAGTATATAACTATTCAAGAAATACGAAAAAAAACATTATTAGTTTAAACGATTTATTAGTTTTTGAAACGTGTTATGCTGGTTTCGTAAACAATCATTTTCTTGCCAAGCCATGTTATTTACTGACTTTATAAGGAAGCTAGAGCTCATGTGCACAGTTAACGGATTTATGTAAATAAGGAACGTTTGAATGTATTTGCCAAGATAAAACTACAAGTAATGTCTAAATATTACCTCAAACAAGGAAAACCCTTCTTATCAGTCCCTTGTAAATAAATTATTTCCAGGGGAAACAAAAGCGGTGAATTTATATGTAAAGTACTTAAACAGTGACCTCTACTACTAACCGTAAAATATAAATATTATATCCCAAAACATTCCATTTTGTTTGTTTAAAAAACTTAATTACTTAGAAACTTTATATATATATAAACGATTTAATCTCAAATCCAGTGATTATCTCTCCGGTTCTGCCTACTTACAAAAACTGAAACCCAGAACACAAATCTACAGATAAACTAAAAACCAGAACATAAGTCTATAGAAATATACACTGAAACCAGAAAATAAGGGTACATAAATATAACCTGAATAACTGGGGTCTGAGAAGTTAACGGAGTAGTGGAGTAGTCATGGTTAAGGGGTGGGGGCACAGAAGCAACTGTAGAACTTGGTATGGAAGCTACAAACCTGCTGTTATTATGAGGATACACCGGTGCACCAGCATGGTGAGTTAACTTTTGTGAAGACGGTTCAGTAACATAATGTACCGGTTTACCTCCTGGAATATTTCTTCTTCTTTGAGGTGGAACATATCTATTAGAACAGTTATGTATGTCTTCTGTAGGCCTTATTACAGCACTATATCTTTCTTCTTCATCATCATTTTCTAGAGCTGTTCTTGCATGATTCTTCTGTAGGCCTTATTACAGCACTATATCTTTCTACTTCATCACCATTTTCTAGAGCTGTTCTTGCATGATGATGTTGAGTATTCTCTATTTCTAGGGCTATTTTCACAGCTTTGGTTTCTTGTTTTTTATATTCTTCTGTGTTCTTTCGTTCTAAAGGTACGGTGTAGCCTTGTAAGGTGCTATCGTATGTTGATGTCACTCCATATTTTTCAGCATTTGTTTTAAACATTTCAGTAGGATCCCATTCATTTTTAGTATCTTCATTTGATTCTAGAGAGACCGTCCCATCAAATACTTTTGGTGGTCCTTCCCATGGCTCGAGCTCTCTCTCCACAATCTGGCCATTAAATTTTCTTATTGAAGAGTCTGTGAAACCTTTACCTTTGGTTGCATAGTCTAAGTCTACATTCACAGCGTTAACCAATACAACATCTTCGAGATAAAAAATAAGTTGTTCAGGTGCATAATCTTGAGTGTTAAAGTTGTTAATAAAACTACTGAGAGTTTTATCCACTTTGTATGGCATTTCCAGCACTAGCTCCATCTGGGGAGAAAATGTCTTGAAAACTCCTTCAGTTATGCTACCGTCCTTTGTCTGGACTTGAACAATACAAACCACAAGAGAAGCAACACTGTGCATGAATCTTGTGTTACAATACACACCTACAACTGTAACACTTTTTTTCCTGTGGTCCTTTTGGTCTGACAGGTTTACCACACTTAATACGCGAACACGCGGTTGAAACCCAGAACATAAGTCTATAGAAATATAAACTGAAACCCAGAACACAAGTCTACATAAATACAAACTGAAACCCAGAACAAAATTCTATAGAAACATAAACCGAAACCCACAACACAAGTCTATAGAAATATACACTGAAACCTAGAACAAAAGTCTATAAAATATAAACAAAAACCCAGAACAAAAGTCTGCAGAAATATAAACTAAAAACCCAGAACAAAAAATCTATAGTAATATGAACTGAAAACTCAGAACACAAGACAACAGAAAAATAAACATACAACTAAGTTTTAATGAAATATAAAATACGACGATGTTATTTGATGACCTTAAAAGTAACGCTTAGTTATTAGAATTTAAACAAATATGCTCTATAATTTATTTTTATAATTATAAGTAGCATTAAAATATGTGTCCATTAAAGGGCTTAGAAATTAACGAAATGTGTATAAACCGGAATTCGACACTTTAAAAAATTACTTGGTATTTTAGTTAAATTGACGAGGTAAAAATGTTATAAATTTGTAGTAAGATTCACTTCAATACAAACATTGAAAAGTAAACTATTACTCCCACAAAAAAAAGATATACTTACTGTTTCAGTGAAGAATAGTCATGCAATATTTTTTGTTAGAAGCAGATTTAACAGAAAATTAACAACCAATGTCAATAGGTTTCAAGAGTGGGAACGTGAGTTAAGTTATGACGTTTTCACTTTATCACAGGGCCTTCATCTGAAGAATTCAAAACGAAATCACCAAGAAAATTTTTAAATTAACGTAAATTCTAGTTAACAAATTAATTGAAGGATCTTAGTTATTAAGTTGACCATGTTATCTCGATGACGAATAAATCATTTTATACACAGCCTTTTTTATTAGAAGCTCAAAACAGAAGTTTTTTTTAAATAGATATACCATACACATGTTGCTCACGTGTCAGGACTAGCCAGTTGTAATACAGTGTTATGTAGGCATGTAGGTTTTTGGTTGTTTTTTTTACGTGGAACTGATGTAACCTTGAAGCACATTGGAGTGGGGATGTTTGTTGACAACAGTGACCTCATTATTTGGGGAAATTTATCTTCAAAAGAGAAAATATTAAAAAGGGTACAAGCACTTACAAAAATAGCTTGGACAGTAATCTGTGGAAATACTGTACTCAGAAACTGTTTGTTTATTAAAATAAAGAATCCTCCACAAAATAAGCGTGAACTAAATTTATGATGCGTTAGATAGAACTAGAAGTTTGATTTTTTGTAATTTAACTTTTTTTATATATATTCATATTGCTAAAGTCGAGAAAAAAATTCATATTTTTCAAAAAAGGCCTCTAGCTTCTAACTTTAGAATTATATTGACTGCTTTTGGAGTCAAACATAACGCTTTCAAAGATGGCACCCAACCCAATATATATATATCTTCGTGAGAAAGCCCAATATCAAAACCGACCTCACTATATTGGATCAAGATTCACAAAAGAAAGTTTGAATTAATTTTCAACTTTAAATTTTAAATCGATGTTTTGTTTATTGATAAGAAACATACAAAGCCTGCTTGGATTTTGAAATATATGAACATTATCATCAGTAAATCTAGTGCAACAACGAGGCTTAGATTCAGAAGAACAGTTATTTAATCACTGTTCTTCACGGTGACACAAGAACAGATTAGCTAGGCCTAATCCATCTATCAACGCCATTAGTTTATTCGTAGATCTAAAGATAAATACTTTGTTCCAAATTCCTGAAGATTCTTAAAAGTTTTTCATTACAGTATCGTCATTTAGATAAATCAAATCAGTATTCTCAGTGAGATGAATAATGTTAAATAAAGACTTAATATTAATAGTGTTGTTAAACCAAGTAATATCTTCTAATATTGGAGACAATCATCTTTATACATCAGTATTTTATGTGTTTTTGGAATGCCAGAATAAGAACAAATGGTTCTTCGGATGTCATTGTAAGCAACAGTAGAAATAATGTTTTCTTTCGTCATCTTCAAGAAAAATATTTCATGTTGTGCGTCGTTAATGGTAATGGAGTCATGAGGAAGTTTTCGAAATTTGGCATGGTCACTAAGATTGTAATGAATCTTAAGAACATGGTCATCTTTGGTAAGAAGAACCTACCATTTCGTTTTTAAACCAGGGTATTCTTATGTGCTCTTTATCTTTAATGAGCCCATTCAGTACAAGAGAAAAAAACGACTGGTTTTTTATTACGGTAAAGAGAAAACTTGCTAATGTGTTGATAAAAGTTGAGCCACGTTAGTTCCAATTTCTACCTCCTAATTCAACATAAGCCTAATTACAAAGGGAATTTTCTTCGTACTCCTGACAGCATCACGACTAACTTATAAAACTTTAGTAAGAGGTTTGTAATTTGTCTTTCCTCCACCTAAACTCATATTGGTTGAATTTCTACCTCCTAATTCAACATAAGCCTAATTATAAACTCATATTGGTTGCTAACTTATAAAACTTTAGTAAGAGGTTTGTAATTTGTCTTTCCTCCACCAAACATATCGCTTCTGTAATATAATACACATTAAGAGCGCGTTTGAAACTCTGAGAAACAAAAATTCTTATGACCATTAACGTTAAACCACACAATTAGTTACACCTTCAAGGTAAGCCTAATTACAAAGGGAATTTTCTTCGTACTCCTGACAGCATCATGAAGTTTACTACACTATAGTAATGCTGATAGTTAGTATGTGTATTATATTACACAAGAGGTATGTTTGGTTTACTCCACTATAGTAATGCTGATAGTTAGTATGTGTATTATATTACACAAGAGGTATGTTTGGTTTACTCCACTATAGTAATGCTGATAGTTAGTATGTGTATTATATTACACTGGGACTGGGA